CCTTGACCTCCAAAATTCTTACTGCCAAAAAGTAGTATAAAAACCCCAGACAGATATCTTTACCATCATGGAATCAAGGTCAGACAAAGATTGCATGATCATGCATTTTCTAGCTTCTCAGTTTTTTTCCCTCCTTTTTTATCATCTCTCTCTATCTTTTCCCTGCTTTCTCTCCCTCTGCTTTTACTGACCATCCCAATGGGGATTATCCAAGTCAAGCTGACCCTGTAGTCCTGCCAGTGGTCAAAGGGATGACATTAGCGTGACTGTCACATAATGAGATAGGATGTCTATTCAGACACACTTGACCATTGACAATATGACCTAGGCCACTGATATGAGACTGGTAAACAAGAGCCAAGCACCAACCTAATTCTAAGCACATTTACACAGAAATGAGACCTGCAGGGGTGTTGGTTGCATAATTAATGTACTCTGTCACTCAATGTATTTCTGTCTCTGTTCTCCTCATCATGCATGTGCCATTAACCCTCAGACACAGTACCATTAACCCTCCGACATCCACACATATGGAGAGTGCATTAGCCTCATTTTTCTAATTATAGCACAGCTTCTCCTGATTATTCAAAAATCTTCAAAGCAATTTACCAATGTCTACCTTGCAGCCATGCAAAGACACCATGGCCTGTCATATTCCAGGATACATATCTATATCTATCTACCATATAGAGGGTATATACCAGGGTATATCAGCATAAGAAATGCAACAGCAAAGGTTAACACTGCAATGCATCTTATGTCTCTCTATAATGTCAGTCTGGCCTCACGTACTTACCTATCGCAAAGGTACTATGCGTATGCAAGTATAGCCTGTGTTTGCTACTCAACAGAGGAAGTGTTGTTCACAGAGGCCATAGACAACAGCTGAGAGGCCCTGACCCCCATGACATAATATCCACTGTACAGCAGGCAGATATTGATTATCACCATGGCAACACCTGCTAATCAAACAAAGGGCTTGCCTGACCTTGCTCTGTATTCCACATGCTGCTGATTCCTACACACATGTATACTTGTGTGGTTGTCACATGAAACATTTCAGGGGGGGAACAGGAAAATGTGATTTTGAAAACAAAAACTGATGACCAACCTGTACATGATGCAGCCCATGTCGGTTTTTAAACATAACAAAACAAATATAGTTCTCTTAATCAAAATCTCCTTGTTGTGCCCCTTTTTTAAAATCTCTTGACAAAAATATTTTGCTTACTATTGGTGTCTTAGACTGGGTTCCCATACTTAGATCAATCCATCTGGATCGACCTAACTCCCTAAGGGTTCACGCTTAATTGCTATCAGCTCTAGAGGCTTAAATGTCTGTCACGCCAACCGAATCAGCTAGGGGTAAAGATAATTACCCCCTAACAGTTTTACTAGGCATGACAGATGTTTAAGCCGGTAAGTTTGATAGCAATTTAGTGAGACTTCCCAGGGAAATAGATCAATCCAAATATCTGTGGGAATGGTCCCCTAGTGAGCTGTTGGACATTAACATCATATCAATACATTCTTCACAAAGAATAAACTGATGGACATTCTCTATTATGGCAATGTACATGGAGTTTACAAAAGGAATGTTATATTCTGTCCATTTCATTCAAATCTATCATTTACAAAAATAAGTTCTTTTTGAGACTTCAATGAAAAACTAAAAATTTAATTCTCTAGCAAAACCTAAGCCAGAAAGTCAAATTACCATGATGACTCATTTCAATTACTGTTTTTTTTTCTTATCTCACCATTTCAGTATATGTTTCTTCTGGAATACTCTGTATATCAATGAATCTATATAATCCACATTTGACATGTCATGGTGTCTTGATTTAAGCCGTGAATTGCATACATGCCCCAGTGTTCAGTATATAGGCATTCTGTCTTGGCCCACCTTTTTATCCTTATTATCAGATAACACAGACAGTGGGTGGAAATATATTTGCTGCATAATTAAAGGAATCTCATGAACCTGAGGTTTATGCTATACATTAAATTTTCAAGGTATCTTTCCAGTGACTGACATATATATATATATATATATATATATATATATATATATATATATATACAGGTAGCATGAAAGTGGGTCTTGTACCTTAAATCAAGGACAGAAAATTAAAGTGTGCCTAGCTCTCTGTTAAACTGAAAATAAATCAATAAATATGAACTAGAGGATCAGAGAGGCAATACCGCCTCCGANTCTTAGCATGACCACTTCAGCTGCTGTCCCTGATCCTTGACCTCCAAAATTCTTACTGCCAAAAAGTAGTATAAAAAACCCAGACAGATATCTTTACCATCATGAAATCAAGGTCAGACAAAGATTGCATGATCATGCATTTTCCAGCTTCTCAGTTTTTTCCCCTCCTTTTTTATCATCTCTCTCTATCTTTTCCCTGCTCTCTCTCCCTCTGCTTTTACTGACCATCCCAATGGGGATTATCCAAGTCAAGCTGACCCTGTAGTCAGTGGTCAAAGGGATGACATTAGCGTGACTGTCACATAATGAGATAGGATGTCTATTCAGACACACTTGACCATTGACAATATGACTTAGGCCACTGATATGAGACTGGTAAACAAGAGCCAAGCACCAACCTAATTCTAAGCACATTTACACAGAAATGAGACCTGCAGGGGTGTTGGTTGCATAATTAATGTACTCTGTCACTCAATGTATTTCTGTCTCTGTTCTCCTCATCATGCATGTGCCATTAACCCTCAGACACTGTACCATTAACCCTCAGACATCCACACATATGGAGAGTACATTAGCCTCATTTTTCTAATTATAGCACAGCTTCTCCTGATTATTCAAAAATCTTCAAAGCAATTTACCAATGTCTACCTTGCAGCCATGCAAAGACACCATGGCCTGTCATATTCCAGGATACATATCTATATCCATCTACCATATATAGGGTATATACCAGGGTATATCAGCATAAGAAATGCAACTGCAAAGGTTAACACTGCAATGCATCTTATGTCTCCCTATAATGTCAGTCTGGCCTCACGTACTTACCTATCCCAAAGGTACTATGCGTGTGCAAGTATAGCCTGTGTTTGCTACTCAACAGAGGAAGTGTTGTTCACAGAGGCCATAGACAACAACAGCTGAGAGGCCCTGACCCCCATGACATAATATCCACTGTACAGCAGGCAGATATTGATTATCACCATGGCAACACCTGCTAATCAAACAAAGGGCTTGCCTGACCTTGCTCTGTATTCCACATGCTGCTGATTCCTACACACATGTATACTTGTGTGGTTGTCACATGAAACATTTCAGGGGGGGGACAGGAAAATGTGATTTTGAAAACTAAAACTGATGACCAACATGTACATGATGCAGCCCATGTCGGTTTTTAAACATAACAAAACAAATATAGTTCTCTTAATCAAAATCCCCTTGTTGTGCCCCTTTTTTAAATCTCTAGACAAGAATATTTTTGCTTACTATTGGTGTCTTAGACTGGGTTCCCATACTTAGATCAATCCATCTGGATCGACCTAACTCCTTTAGGGTTCATGCTTAATTGCTATCAGCTGTAGAGGCTTAAATGTCTGTCACGCCAATCGAATCAGCTAGGGGTAAAGATAATTACCCCCTAACAGTTTTACTAGGCATGACAGATGTTTAAGCCGATAAGTTTGATAGCAATTTAGTGAGACTCCCCAGGGAAATAGACCGATCCAAATATCTGTGAGAATGGTCCCCTAGTGAGCTGTTGGAGATTAACATCATATCAATACATTCTTCACAAAGAATAAGCAGATGGACATTCTCTATTATGGCAATGTACATGGAGTTTACCAAAGGAATGTTATATTCTGTCCATTTCATTCAAATCTATCATTTACAAAAATAAGTTCTTTTTGAGACTTCAATGAAAAACTAAAAATTTAATTCTCTAGCAAAACCTAAGCCAGAAAGTCAAATTACCATGATGACTCATTTCAATTACTGTTTTTTTTTTCTTATCTCACCATTTCAGTATATGTTGCTTCTGGAATACTCTGTATATCAATGAATCTATATAATCCACATTTGACATGTCATGGTGTCTTGATTTAAGCCATGAATTGCATACATGCACCAGTGTTCAGCATATAGGCATTTTCTCTTGGCTCACCTTTTTATCCTTATTATCAGATAACACAGACAGTGGGTGGAAATATATTTGCTGCATAATTAAAGGAATCTCATGAACCTGAGGTTTATACTTTACATTAAATTTTCAAGGTATCATTCCAGTGACTGACATATATATATATATATATATATATATATATATACAGGTAGCATGAAAGTGGGTCTTGTACCTTAAATCAAGGACAGAAAATTAAAGTGTGCCTAGCTCTCTGTTAAACTGAAAATAAATAAATAAATATGAATAATACCCCTCCCCCCAAAATAAATAAATAAATAAATAAATAAAGTAAAACATTAAGAGTATCTTAATCCTATTTCCCTACCAAAATAACCCATCTGACCTACCTTTACCTGAAATTTAATACCACTTATAATTATAAATTATGTAGTTCTAAATGACATGGCAATCATTTAGAATGACATAACAAATTACACAGTGTTTTCTGTCTTGGTCTTGTGTAATGTATAATATTAAAGATGTCATTTTTCATATGAAGATGTGTGATACCATGCTTTGAACCGTCTGTGCAAAGATCTAAGGCCCAGAAAGAAATAATGACAGTATAGGTACGATTCAGATAAACTTTTGTTCATAGGTTTTTTTTTATGTCTTGAAGGTCTGAAATGTGAAAGATAAATAAATGAGCTTTGCTAAGTAAGCATAAAACTTTGGGACATTTTCAAATGCAGGGATTGAGGACAACTTAATTAAAACTTGTCCTCTACTTTGTAAAAAATTCTCCTTCAACTAACTTCCCATCTCTTTCTTTAAAATCAACAGAAACATTTCAACAACTTCCCAACTAATTGCTATATCTTAAATTACCTTTAATGGCTTTTATGGTGGTAACTGCTACACTTGCCCCCTGATTATAAGATGTCCTACGATGTGCTGATAGACATATAAGTGCACTATTCAATCTGAAAAGAAATGAAAATTCAAATGGGCTTATAAAAAACTGCTACATTAAAAACATATTAAAATAAATTTTTTTGCTTTGTATACATCCCCCCTCCTTTAAATAATCCTGGATCCGCCCCTGTATATATATATATATATATGGGCCCAAGCATTGAATGAGTGACCTGAATTTCCATAGTCACTCGGAACTCACAACAACATAATCCTCATGACTCTGCTTAACTCAGGGTGCACGTGTGAATTAAGCCGATAGCTCAGCTTACTACAGATTATTTCACCTCCTTGTGCCATGTTGACTGATCTAGGTATTACCGAGAGTAATTGATAGACATGTAAGCCAGACAAGAAAATAAGACAACACAATGTCATCAAATAGGTGATGATACACTAATGACAGAGTGTATATTCGTTTCTTTTTTACCATCGTGTCTGATCCACATGTAAAACAGCCATAAATCTTTTGTTGAGACACAATAGAAATAGGATATAATGATTAGTTTATTTCATAATCTACACTCTGAATTATCTGCTTATAGAAATTGTATTTGTTTCTTCTTTTGTATATCAATTTTTTAGTCACCTGTCTTTTTTTTTTAATCTATATATTCAAACAAGAAATCACTTAACTATTTAATTTATTAGTCTAGTTTATGATTCATGCCTCTATCTGTCCAATTCTCTTACCATTTGGCCATCCCTAATTACTGCCACAGCACACAGGAGCCTGTACACGCATAACTCAGAAGGCCCCAAACATACGAACAGCATGCACCGTGTCAATTTCATAATGAACTGGGTCCCACTGACGCAACAGTGATACGGGCCACACCGCATTCGCCTTTTTCTGTGGTATTTTGAGCTAAAGTAAGTACACACAAAATCGATATGGCCTAATCCGTTCTGTAATCTACTGGCTCCCAATAATGCTAGATTTAAACGGACCATGTCATATTATTTTTTTAATCAGGAATTTTGAGCTCAAAATGATCACGCATCTCATAAAACAAAACTGACATGGCTCATGTCACTTTTGCAGTTCACTATGCCCACAAGACATGTCAATCTTGCGTCTATTAATGAGCTAGACTGAGGCTGTGTTCATATGAAAAATCTATTTTCTAAAAATCTATATGCGGTATCTTGTGATCACGGTCTGTGCCCTGAATACCCCGTGGCGTAATTACTGGCAGCGCCGATAATTAATTACACCTTTGGAAGTAACTGGCTCACGCTGCCCATAATTACGCAGTGGGGTATTCAGGGCACAGACGGTGATTACAAGATACCGCAAATAGATTTTAAGATTTTTAGAAAATAGATTTTTCATGTAAACGGTCCCTAAGTGTAATGCAACATGAACATGGTGCATGCTGTTTTTGTATATTTGGGGCCTTCTCATGCAGGCTCCTCTGGGCCATGGTAAAATCTCTTACAGTTCCATTTACCTATTCACAGAAAGCAAACATTCCCCCCCCCCCCCCCCCCCCCCGAGTGATTTTTTTCCTCCTCTAATTTTAATACCAATAATCATATACTGATAAATGGTATATTCATTCCATAAATTCTTCAATCCCTTCTCATGATTAATTCACTATTTATGCCACAAAGAATTCATATATTTACAGACTTTTATACGGGCACTTGAAACTGATTCAGTGACTTGTTGACTAATTTATCTAATTGCAGTAATTCCGTCTGCTTTTATACAATCCTCCATGCTTCCGTAATAAAAGTCTGAATAAAAAATCAATAATTCACCATATCGAAATGAAAATTTCTGATCTGAATGATCTCAAACACAGATAACATCAGATAAAATAATAATATTTTACAGCACATAAAAGGTATGTGGTTCACAAACCAAAAAAAAAACTTCTAATCATTTGGAAATTGATGAGAAAGCATTTCTGTGTTCAAGTTACTTTGCAAGGTTTGTTTCTATGTATGAATAGATAAAATACTTGTATGATACAAAGTATCATACAATATTATCAAACAATTCACAAAGGCAGGTTGAATACATAAGCTTTTGCTCAGCCACAATCAGTTCACTGAATCAAATATTCATGACCATACCACCACATTTCGTAAATTTTTCATTTTGATCTTAATTTATATCCTTAGTGAAATCTGAAAAAAAATCTTTCTTTCATATGCAGTTGATTTAAACAGCAGTTATTACTTTCTTGCTGATGTGTCTTTGATTTCAAATTAGAGTTGTGGTGGAGCAACACAATTGATCCTATTTTCACTCTCTCTCTCTCCCCCCAGTCCTTTCCAATGTCATTTATTTATGTCCTAATTTCAATTAGTTAAAACACAACTCTGAGGGTTCATAGAAATGATAGAGTCTCTCTTCTCCCTTTATAGGGAAGGTTTAATATTTTGATGAACATTTTTGAAAGCGGGAGACTATTTAATTCCATGTTGGCTGCGAAGTCATAACAATACTTCAGAAAAAAAAAATCTGTCAATACAAATTAAATCTAAAAGTAATCAAAGAAAGCTTTCATCTCTAGTCCCTGATGAGCGCTTTTTAACTATTCAGCAATAACATTCTGTAGTTAATCAGACACACTTGACGAACTGATTCTGTTCTAAGCTCCACTTTCCCCATAACTGTATACTGCCTAAATCATGACCCAATTGTGCTTCAAATGAGACAGAAATTGGGGACATCATGTCATAATAATGCATTTTTTTCTTGCACTAGCAACTTGCACATCTTTTTTATAGATAATTAAAAAGTAATTTGTTGCAAATATGTAAATAATCTTACAGCATTATAACATTTAAACATTTAAACATTAGTCCCATCTGATGGATAATAAGATTTCATCAATGAAAGAAAGCAGGCGTCCAAAGTAAATTTAAGAAATCTGCCCCAAGGATGTTTCAAGCATCTCATCCCTGAATTATATACATCAGTACACTTGTATTTCAGATAAGAAATTGCAATGAGCTAACACAGATAAATGAGCACAAAATTTAACAAAAAATTAGGATTCTTCATCCCTTATAAAATTCTACTTTCATGTTCTGAGGGTGTAGTAATGTCCTCATACAAACCCATCAATCACAGGATAAGTTAACTCACATTCGTTAATGATCTTACCTTGCCTACGTATAATTACTAATCACACCAACACTAAATTTCTCTACAAATCACATGATCCAAGTAGAGAGCATACATGCTGCATATGTACTAGCCAGCCATCGAGAATTATCGGGCCTGAATTATCACCCACAATCCCGCCAGCCCCTCTGATAAGCTGAACAGAATGTATGCACTCAATGTTAAGGTCATGAATTGGGTTTGTTCGAGTTCCACTGTATCCACTAAGCACGATGTATTGATCCTTTGTGTGCTGACTTCAAAAGGGGCTACATGCTTACATAATTGCAGTGAATAGACTTTGCCAGTGTGGGCAGGCCGCTGATATTGTTGTTATCAGCCACTCAAGCCAGCTGGTCATGGCAGAGGACAAGGGGCCCTGACAATGGCAACACTCCTACTTTTGTTCACGCAATAAACGGCATTGATTTTTACCTGCACTAAACATTAGTTGCTTATACTGTGGAAGCAAATATACTTATTGATTTCGAGGTATGCAAGTGGATTGGAGCATACTACCTAAAATGTTGTAACTTACTGGGACAATTCAATAATAATTAAGATTTAAACATCATGTCTTTTCTAATAATTTTTTCTAATTTATTTCATGCTTGATGGCGATTAACTTCTGAACTGTCCTTGAAAAGTAGGGTGGGCATCTGACCAAACATCAGTGAAAAGGTGCTACTATTTTTTTTTCTTGGTATCCATACTTAAACTTGTTTTATAAATCAAAATTAATGGGGAAAAAAACTGACGGTCTGGAAATGCGAAACACAATCAATAAAAAGATTTTTCTACATTCTTCTCCTTTTACACCAAACTTGTTTTCTTTCTTAATTTCAAAACTGATGGAGGTGCACACTGCTCGAGGTTGACAGAAATGATATACTGTGATCAAGATCAAACTAATGCATCCATAGCTGGTTTAACACTGAAATAAATAACGTAATCTAGGTACTGTCAGCAGTTCTGTCATTCCAAATTGTCTATCACATCGCTCTCTCCAGGGCTTACTGATTAGCAACCATTCATTATTGCACCTTGTATCTATAAATTTCAAATTGCATATATTATATATGCAACAATAATGTATAGAGCTCCCATGTATATTAGTCAAGACCAATAGTGCTTGAACAGCATTATTATTACTTACAGTAATAAAATATAATCTATAAGTTATAATTGCATTTCTGTAGGTGGCAATTGTCCTCTGATTTAGCACAAATTCAGTCATCTATTCATATATTTTATTATGCCAGTCCCTCATAAAGCAGTTTTAAATGGGGATGCAGGATGAACTCCCAAAATGAGAGTACATGAAGTAGATTACAAGGCAGGTTCTCACATTTTATCCCTTGTACACACAATATACTCAAAATAATACTATGATCATTGATGTCCGTGGAAAAATTATATATCAGGGCTCCTTCATCTCCAATATGCCCATAAAATATGACCCAGGTGCTGAGCTACTAAATGCCTCAGTTTTCGTGTGTGCCAAAAGACTCCTTAAATGTACATTTAAATTAGGAATTCTAAAACCTCATATACTTAATTTCCCCCCCCCCCCAAGTCAGATCTTAAAAACAACAAAACTCCTGAAATAATGCAAAAAATTTCCTTCATAAATATCAGAAGACCTGATGGTCTATTAATGAATTAGGATTCATTTAAAACCAATTATTTGATTAAAAAATGTATGGAACATTGACAACTCAAGTCCAGAGACACATGTAGTACAGCAATGACTTGTGAATAGGTGAAAACTGCCTTTTCTTGAGGAAAGTTAGATTTGGTGTGAAAATCCTGTATCTCCATCCTTTAAGCTATGAAGAGAGCCTGAAGCTATCTAAAGATGAAGGGTTTCTGTCCTGGTGGAAG